TAGTTGAGCTTCTACCATTTGAACCTAGGTCGACCTAGGCTCGAGCATATAGCATAATAGAGCTCAGCAGACGAAAAATGCCGCCCATTTTCGCGGGCCAGAACGGACAACCCCCCTCCTCGGGGTTGTCGACCCCACGACGACCACCGCGTGGAAAGCCCAGGCGAGCTGGCTGGGCCCAGTGCTGGTGACCCCTCGGGATTGTCGACGACCTGTCGACCTTGGGTTCCGCTGAGACAATCCCGAGAAGGTCGTCTCAGCCGCGTGACGTCATCCCAGCTCGGCACATCGGGCCGCGATGATCGCCACGCGGCCAAAAAAGGACGCCCGAGATCGACCCCTGAATGGCGGGGCCATCGTGGACTGCCAGGGTGGCCACGACGGGCCAACGGAAGGTGGGGGTGCTTCGCGTGGGAAAACTTCGCGCCCAAGCGTTGCCAGGTCGGTGCGTACCACACGGCCATCATCCAACGGTTGCCCACATGCCCAAGGCGAAATCCGACCGTCCACTACCTCTGGCTAGGTGCAGTGGATACTGGCGGGAATGTCGGCGTCGACCAGAAGGTCTTCATCGTGGTGCCACGCGGCAGTGTCTCCCGCCCTCGAACTACCGCGCAGGGACCACGCCACGTACCGCACGAAAGAGCCAGCGTTGTAACACCCATGAAAGGCGCATCATGAGCGAAGCGCTTCAAGCAAGCAGCCATGCACGCCCGGTGGCACGTCGGTCACGGCGCCGCCGCACGAGAGTACCTGCACAGCTGCGTCCTGCACAGGGGTTTGCGTGGAGCGCCAAGTGGAGCGGAGTCGCTCACGACCATACCAATCTGGGGTCCCAGTGAAGGTCGCTCATTCTGCCTGCCATTCTGCGTGCGTTTCATCCGTTAGCTGGCACTTAGATTGTTTCCCCCGTTCCCTTCACGGCTCGCCCTTAGTTTTTTTGTTCGGCAGATCAGCGTCAGACGTGGAACGTCGGCGTCGTCAGAATAGTCAGACGTCGGGGCCGCCGTCTCGTAGTGTTGTCTGCGATGCCGACCTGTCAGATACCGCCGACTTAGAGACTGCATGTTGTAGTTCATCGACCTCACCACACCGACTTCCCATCGCGAGACCCTAGGTCGCGGTATCATGGCCGGAGCACATCCTCGATCGACACCGCCGCAATCACACCCACCACCCGCCGACGTCGACATGACGGACGTTCCGACTCCCGCTAGCCAGGGTGAGGATGTCCGCCCGGTAGACCGTGCACCGACCAGTAACCCTCGTCGACGCTTGCCCCTACTTTACGATCTCGACGCACTGGCCCAAATCCCGCAGGGAGAGTTCACCAAAGACATTCCGCCCGCGCCCATAGGGGAGTTCACGAAACCACGCAAAGATACATCGGCACCGACGAATGCAGCGGAGGCCGGGCCGTCGTCGGTGCCGGACGGAGCGGGCGACCAGGATGAGGGAATGGAAGACTATTCCTCGGCGAGCGACGAGGACGACGAAGACGACCCGCGGCCCCGACGTGGCACAGGTCCTAAGACGTTGGAAGAAAAGCTCAGGGGGGAACGTGCGCTCATTGAGGAACTTCTGGACGAGGACGAGCTAGAGGATCTGCTGCACATGTCGGTCCCTCGAGAACAGTGGAAGGCGGCCGACTTCGTAGAGGAAGATATGGTGTACGCGTGCGTCGACGTGCTCGTGATGGAGGCATTGCGCCACCTGAAAACCATCGAGGCTAAGAGCACGCTCCAGTCCTACATCTCATGGATCTACCACTACAAGAGGTGGGCGGCAAAAATGCTCAAAGAGATAGGCGACAAGCTGCCCGTCGGGGAACGAACTAGGCACGTCGACGAGATCGGGCACTGGATCCACTGCAACAAGAGCAAGGATTGGGACAACCCGAACGTCGTCAAACGGAAGCACATCTGGCTGCACGGCCCCAAGGTCACTGTGACGCGGCTGCGCGCCTACGTCAAGTTCATGAGGCGGGAGTTCAAGATCGACGCCGAGACGAACGCGCCGGTGCCGTCCTACACGGTGCACATGATCCTCGGCCGCATCAAGGCATGCCAGATGGCGGCGACGGTGGAGGCGACGCTCTACAAGGAGAAGGAGTTGGGCATCATGCGGGAAATCTCGGTTGTCCGGTCGGAGGTGCGGGTCATGGTCCGCACCAAAAACCAGAGGGACATCAAGTAAGTTGGCATTTAGCGCCGTTTTCTAGTAAGTCGGTGTCGATTTGTGCTCATCGCCCTAATAATCCTACCGCCTATATTGTTATGTCGACAGTAATTGCGCCGACCGTCGACGCGGCACCATCGGCGACACATACACCGCCGAACAGTTCCGCCAGATCATGACGAGGGTGCTGCCGGCTTGGGCGGCGTCGGCATGGAGCCCGCATTTCACCACTCCCTCGCAGACGCTGTGGAGGTTTCTTCTCGTCAAGGTGCTCACGCTGCTCTCCCACCACAGCCTCATGCGCGGTGCAAGCATCCGCGAGATCACGCTCCCCGACATCTTCTTGTACCGACTGGCGAGCACCTCGTCGGTGAACCCGGATAACCAGCCGGTCGTCATGGTGGTCGCCGCGCGGAACTCGAAGACGTCGAAGGATGCGCGTCTGCAGCAGAGCTACGCCGCGCGGCACCTCGAAGCGGAATTGTGCGCCGTCGGCGAGACCGGACTGTGGCTACACTTCATCCTCGACCAGATCGGCCAGTTTCACGGCGTCGACCTCATTCCGCCGGTCGACACCAGCACACGCGAGCGCTGGTACAAGAAGCACCTGTTCTTCGCCCGCAACGACCCCGAGCAGGGCGAACTCTCAACTGCCAGCCACCAGCGATGGACGAGGCAGATGTGGAAGACGAACGGGGTGTTCTGCAAGCGGAACGTCCATGCCGCTCGGGCAGGCGGGGCGCAGGAGCTGGCCATCAACGGTACGCCTCGCGCCGAGATAGCCGAGCTGGGTCACTGGGCTCTCGACAAGATGACTCGAGCCTACATCACAGCCATTCCCGTCGGCGTAGTAATGAAGAAGGCCGGCTACTCGGGATACACGCAGGACTACTTCTTGGGACGCAGCAGGGTGGAACCGGGGGACGAACTCCTCACACTCATCGCCGAGCACATCTTCCCCGGCGTGGACGACCTCCTTAAGGATGTATGTTAATCGGTGCCGACCAAGCCTCTAATGGCACTGTCCTATCCACCACGTTAATTACCCACGTCTGTTGTCTACTTGCAGGCGGAAGAACTCGCGAAGAAGGGGTCCGACGCCGACATTGCAGCCGTGCACTTCTGGCGCACCCTCCTGATGTTCCGCCGCATTGTCGCCGAGGACCTCGCTGTGAAACTCGTCCGCACGCCTTGGCACCCGTACGTCCAGTATTCCAAGCTCTGCCGGATTCCCCTCTTCCAGCACTGGGCGAAGAGGGTGGAGAAGACCGACACCGAGACCATCAAAAAGCGGCAAGACCCAACCCTCATCCAGCCACAGGTGGGTTTTCCTTTATGTCGACGTCGCCATGAGCACAGTGCCCGATACAACCCCTCACCTGCACCGTTATTCGCCTAACGTTGCAGGAGATATCGGTCCGCCACGAGGCCCAGTACGCGGTCGTCTCCCTCACAACGACGCTGAAGCTCGAGAGGGAGCGGTCAGCGGTCGAGAAGATCGACCTCGAGGAGAAGCTCGAGCAGCGCGACGCTACCATCGCGTCGATGACGGACGAGATAACCCGCCTCACCGAGGCTCTCCGCGTTTCAGAAGCTCGTAGGATGCCGGAGGCGCCGCCAGCTGCGAACGATCAGTCGCCTAGCGACGGTGGCTCCGCGGAGTCGGCAAGCAGGGGTGACGGAGCCAAGAAACCCAAAAAACCCCCACAGACGGTCGAGGAGGCTAGCTACGAGCTGAACGTGGTTCAGCCTTGGCGGAATGCAACGACCGTGAGGGACGCGTGGCGCCTCTGGACCTCGTGCACCAGCGCCGACACCCGTCGTCTGTGCGACAGGTTCTTCGAGCCGGGATTCGTCGACCGCCACACCCTCCTCGACGGAGCCTCGCAGGGAGCACACGGGACGAGGGTGCGCCGCATGATGAAGGTCATCGATGCCGTGCGCCAGCTTCACAGGAGCGACGGCGAAGCCGACACGGAAGCCGTCGTCGACGCGCTTAACACGATAGCGGCGCCTGGCATTGGGACCTTCTCGGATGCCCTCACGGTGCTCAACGCGGGCAACAAACCGACCTATGCCGGGCAGGGTAAGGGCGTCAAGGGGCTCGGCAAGACGGAATTTGCCAAGCTTCGTCTCGCCTGTGCGCTCGTGGCGCGCGGGTTGAAGCCGGACAAGTGGGTCGCCGACCTGCTCCCGGACACATGGAAGGAGCAGATGAAGAAGGCGTTGGCCGACCTGGCCCGCGACATCGACGCCGGCCAGCTGCCTCCGACCACGAAGTCGACCAAGCGCAAGAAGACCGCGTGAATGCTCACAAGCAACGTGCGACTGTTGGCTGTTGCATGTTGTAGATGTTCTTGATGCAGCATGCATGTGTTTCGTACTGATACAGTTGTCGACTTTGTGGTTCTCACAATGATCCTATCGTTCTACTTGAAGTAGACATCACATCCAACGCACAGTCAACAAGCTAATGTTTGAATTGTTCATTACACATACTTCGTAAATTCGACAGGCACGCACACAATGAAACCCACACAAAGAGCATCTAAGGGATCCGACAGCCGAAACACACAAAACGATATCGATGCCGACCTACAAACGGGGCACAATACCCAAAGCGCCGAAAGGGATATCGCCGAGTATCTACATGCATACAGACAGACGCACAATGTCGACACCATACGACGCCGGCGTATCATACGCCGACGAGGTTCAGCACCGTGTCTTAGTAGGGGTGTTCTAGTAACATGCACTACCAAAAAGTTACACCCACAAAACATGCACTACCAAAAAGTTACAGCCACACATCACGCAATCACCTACGAAAAGCAATCACAACGAGAACTCCACGATCGACGCCGCCCATACCAGGCCACCCCAGGCGACCAGAATGCAATACCGACTAAGCCGCCGTGCTGTCTTTGCCCTGCTTGCCCTTCTGGCCCTTCTTCCCCGAGCTGTCCTTGCCCTGCTTGCCCCTCTGGCCCTTCCTCCCCCTTGTGTTCGATAAGCTTCGCCATCTGCGCGTCAAGCGGCACCGCGATGCCGATCTTCTTGAGTTTCGGCCCATCCTTGGGGCACATTCCCCAGAACGCCATGGTTTCCACCGTTGCTGGTGCGATCACTTGGGCTTCGACTTCTCCATCCAACCCCGGATAGGCTCTCGCCAGAGCTGTAGACTCCAGCGCCGTTGCGACGTTGTACGCAACCTCCCCGAGGGGTTGCTCCCTGCTCTTCGCGGCCTCCAGCACCGCCGTCATGACCTTCATAAACTCATCACCGGTCTTCCCGCTCGCACCGACCACCATCGCCGCCGCCTTCCTTTCGCGCACAGCATCGGCCACCTGGGCGGCGTCGCCCTCGACTAAGCACCACAGGGCGCAAGCGGAGGCCGATAGCGCCTGTGCCACCAACGCCGTCGTCTCATCCGTTTCGCCCTCCTTCCTCGCCGCGGCGGCAGCGACTTTCCCATACGCAGCGCACAAGGACACGCGATCAATCATGGCCGACATCATTGCATCCGACTTCGCCTTCCCTTCCTTCGAGTCGGCATCGACCGGGAACCAGATCGCCGGCAAGAGCGCGGCGTGGTGCTCATCGCCTGATGTCTTGTACGCTCGATACTTGCCGAGAATGTCATCGAACCTGTTACGCGAACACACGAAACTGGACGATCATTAGGGACCCCGATGTCGACATCATCACGTGACGGAAGTGGTATCCGACTTACCGGGTCTTTGGGAGGAAAGCGCCCCTTGCCCATATCACCGTCCACATCCCGGTCGGCAAGATCCTGACCTCCTCCCACACCGCCCTCCACTGCTTCTTCATGGTTTCCGTCAAGCCGGTGAGCTCGGCCATGAGAATCTTGCTCGTCGTAAAGGAGGTACACAATCGAGTGGAGGTACGCCAGCTCCATTTTGTCGCGCGACTTGCCGATGTATCTACTCTCGTTCCCGGCCACCTTAATCTCGCCCACCCACCCTTGCTTGTCGCCCGAGTTGTCGTGGCGGATGCCATGACCCTTCCGTCCCTTCTCCTTCACCTTCACCTTCTCCTCCTCCTTAGCATCATCCTCGCCCTCCTCCTCCGCCGCCTCCTCCACCTCCTCTTCCTCCTCCTCCTCATCCTCCTCCTCCTCCTCCTCCTCCTCCTTCGCATTCTCCTCCTCCTTCGCCTTCTCCTTCTCCTTCGCCTTCTCCGTCTCCTTCGCCTTCTCCATCGCCTTCTCCTTCTCCTTCTCCTTCTCCTTCTCCTTCTCCTTCCCTTTCTCCACCGACTTCCCCCGTGTTGTCCTCTGCGAGCTCGGCCTCCCTTTCCCTGTGTCGGCCGTCCCCTTCTGTTTCGACTTGGTGACCACCACAGCTGCAGTGGTCGTCTTTAGCTCCGCTGTTCTACCGGGGGGACTCGCCGAGTGCTCCACATGCGCCGAGTCCGAGATGGCCAGAACAGGGGGCTGCCCGGGGCGGTTTACCGCTTCCAACAGGTCCTGGATGGCATCGATGCCGGCGTCGCGCTGGCCTTTCGCCGCCTGTGCAGGGTCGACGGATCGACCGCCCGTGGCTAGCGCTGCACTCACGCCCTTCTCCGCCACCGCCTCGACAGTAGCTGCACCGAGTGAGGGTGCAGCTACGGTTACCGACGTCGGCGTCGCGCTTGAGCCGGCTTCTGTCCGAGCCCGTGCTGGCGCTGCCGCAGTACGTGCGCCTAACCGGGCGCGAAGCAGGGCGGACTTGGGGTCCACAGGAGGACGGCCGGCGATGTTAGGAGCGGTAGGTGGGGCACTGGACGTTGTGGCGCCGACCTGCGGAGCGACCGAGCGACGTTCCGGTTTGGACGGAGCGGCACCGACCACGGGAGTCGGCTGCACGCCCGGGCGATGGGTCTCCATGCGGCGGAGCATTTCCATGAGCGCGTTCGCCTTTGGGGCGGACGGACCAGGGCGGTTAGCCGCATCATCCTTGACGGCAGACGGGCCTGCTGGTGGTGGAGTAGCCGCAAGGGACGGCCCATCGTCCTTGGCGGCTGACGGGGCGACCGGCGCGCTGCTAGCCGCAGGGGGTTTGCGGGGAATCGACGTGGTCCCCGTCACCCCCCCAGACGGCCCCTTCACGGTTTCGGCGCTGCCATCTATCGCCGTTGGTGCGGTTGCTAGATTGGGGGGCTTCTCGGCCACCAATGGCGAAGCTGTTGGTCCAGCCTCTTGAGCGGCAACCTGGTCGGCAGGGCCCCCCTCCGCACTCCTGATTCCATCGCCCTTGCTGTGCGTCCTTATCACCCTGGCCCCGTTCTTCTTGAGCTGGTCGACCACGCTAGTACCCCCGCTCCCATCGGCTCCCTTGCTCCCAGAGCCGCCAGGACCCACCTGGCCAACGCCGCGGCTCCCATCGGCTCCCTTGCTCCGCGAGCCGCCAGGACCCACCTGGCCGACGCCGCGGCTCCCATCGGCTCCCTTGCTCCGCTTCGAGCTCAACGCATCATCTCCGCCGCCCGCCCTCTTCGCGCCCTTCTTGTCGGCCTCGTTGGCCGACGGCGACGAACCACGCCGACCAGGCGCCAAATTGCCGATCACCTCGGTCATGAGGTTTAACCCGGACGCAACAAACGACTGCTGGGTGGCCTCAGTCACCGCCTTCAACACGTCCGCCTTGAACGACTTCATAAGCTCGTCCGAGAAGGCTGGCGGTGGGGCGGGCGGCGTTGGCGGCGGTACGGCGACGCGTTGAGTTACCGCGGCGGCGATGTTGATCTACGCGGCGACTAGGTTCTTCGATATATGTTCCTCCAACCCCTTCCTCGCGTCGCCCACCACCTTTTCCACGTGGTCGACCAACGTGAGTACCGCCTTCGCACGTTCCACTGCCAAAAACCCCTCCGGATTGTCGAGATCGTCCACCCAGGCCTCCGCCCTCTCGGCGTACGCCTTCATCGCATCCCATGCTTCACCCATGCTGGCGGTGATGTTCTCGGTGACGGTCTTCGCCATGGTCAAGGACGCGCCCCTCAGCCGACTCGCCGCGTCGTTGTCGGAGGCGGCGACCTGGTCGGCCAACGACCTGAGCTTGTCCACGAGGCTGCCTATCCCCATCGCAAACCTGTCCACCCGACCCCTCTCCACTCCGAGCTCCGTCTGCAGTCGAGCATTTTCAGCCCTCAATCACATGTTCTCCTGTCGCAGCTGCGCGACGTCGGCCGGCGGTGCCTGCCGACCGGCTGCTGGGGAACCGGGTTGGCTGCCCGCCTCTACCGCTCCACCTCGGCGTTCCACCCCGGCGTTCCCTGCGGTGGGCTCCACGCCCGTCTGCATCGGGGCCGCGGCGTTATCCTCCTCTGTCGCGTCCCCGTCCACATTGCCGACCACGTCTCCTCTCTCCACATCGGCACCCTCCACTCCCTCGCACACAACATCCGCCGACCACCTACCAGTTCCCTCCACGGCCATCGCCGCCGCTCCCTCCACGCCCATCGCCGCCGCTCCCTCCACGTCCATCGCCGCCGCTCCCTCCACGGCCATCTCGAAGTCGACCCAGGGGAACACCACCTCAGCGTCCCCCTCTTGCTGCTTCTCCGCCTCCACCACCTGCTCCATCGCCTGCTGCACGGCCTCCGCCGCCCCCTCCACCTCCTCCTCCTCCTCGTCCTCCTCCTGCCCCTGCTCACGCTCCTCACGCTCCTCCTCGTTATCATCCCGATCATCGGTGGACGCCTCCTCCTCCTCCGCCTCCTCCTCCTCCTCTTCCTCTTCCTGATCCCCGGTCCGCGGCACCGCCTTCCCTGCCTCCCCATCTGCGTCGTCGACGCCGCCTGTGGCCTCTCCGCGGGTGTCGGCGACACCGACTGCTTGGGATGCCGAAGGGGGCTCCTCGCCGTCGTCGTCACAGGCGTCGTGAGCAAGTCCGACACGGCCCGACTGTTTCAGAGCGACGTGCTCCTTAATGTATGTTACCATCGCACCCCGCAGCGCCTTCAACCCCGAAACGTTGACCTTGTCCATGATGGTAGCACTGCGACGGTACTTGCCGGTCAGGAGATCCATCCTCCTCACCACCCAGCACAACCCGCTCATTGCTAGCGTGCCGGAGCCCGGGCTCCCGTCCTGGACGACGTCGGGCACTTTCTGCATTCAACGGTTCAGAGCGCAAGGATGAGCATCGAGCTTGGATGACACACAATAGGACGTTGACTCGTTCGGAACTCACATCTCGAAGGGGTTCGTCGCAGTCGGCGAGCCTATGCCCGACCTCTTGATCGGAGGGCTTCGGCCACTCCCACGTCCTAGCGTCGCGGCCCAGCTCGGCCAGTACCGCCGCCCGGAAAAACCTGAAACAACAATGCCGGAGATGGTCGGTAAGCATGGTTTAAGCTGCGCGGAGAAATGGCATGCGTCGACGACTAGGCTATCGAGCTCACTTCAACACGCGGATTGCCTCGTCGCGGTGCCACTGCTTCACGGTCTGCGGGTCCAGGTGGCGGATAGACATCCTGATCTTCTCCCCCCCCGCCCTCAACAAGTCGCCGGGATAAATGACGACGATAACACTGCATTGTGCTCCTGGAAGCGGTGCGATGCTGCACAGGCAACGCACGACGGCGTCGTTCAGCACGACATAGCATGCATGGCACAGCTGTACGTCGTTGACCATCGCACCTGGAATGCAGGGGGATGATCGCTACGTCGGCGTCGAAAACCGTCGCAAAGCACGTGTGGTCCTCCTGACCCATCGCCGCCCGAAGCCGACCGAGTCCTATCGACCACAATCGCATCTTCGTCGAGCGAGCCCATGCGTGCCTGCAAGCCGACATGGGTATTAGAAGGCGTGAGGGGGTGAAACCCTGTGAACAACACCGACCCATCGGTGAAATAGGTGTTACACGTAATCAGTAATCGTAAAGTCGGCGCCACGGTGAACTAAACCCTAACCTAGTGGCGCCGCCATAGATGTGGGACAACCATAACACCGACGCAGCGTCGACCAGCTAGGACAGCATAGATCGACGCCGACCTAAATATACGGCGACTCACTTGAGGCTGAATCCCAAGCAACGGGCGTTGAACTCGAGCCTATTGTCTACGAGGACGGCGTAGTCGTGCTCGTTGAACTTGGAAGTGAGCCCTCTACCCAGGTCGAGATACAGCGGGAAGTCCTGCGAAGTCGGCGTCACTTCGCCGACTTTCGGGTCGGCCGCCATGGCGGGGAAGGGAAGCGGCTACCGGCTAAGGGACGTGAATGTGGGAGAAGGCGCAGAGCTGGGAAAAAACGGTGGAAAGTGAAAGGAGAAAGCGAAAATGAGGAGCGATGCCCCCTTCCACCAAGAAAAAGGGGGTCGGTGCCCCACAGGCCGGTCGAGGCATCGCCCGGCCCTCGTGGGGCCTGGCTCGGCAGGGTATGGCGGGCTCGTGCACAAGTGGCACAGGTTCTCATTCGCCGCCGAGCCAGCAAGTCGATGTCACGTCCCCTGGCCTCGGTCCGCCAAGGGACGCAAATTCGCATGCTCGCGGTGCATCGTTTAGACCGCCACGTGTCGATTTCGCAGCGGATCGCGAAAAGCGTGCGCCGCGAAGCGATCGACATCGATTTCGCAACGTCCGAAATATGGCATGCGCCCGATGCGAAACCACGAGCGAACACGTGGCGTCACCGCAACGGGTCGCGAAATTGTCGAGTGTCCCGAGGGGCCCCCGAATTTTCGCCAGGCCCTCGCCTGCCCGTCCGGGCAGGCCGCGATGGGTTACTAGGACCACGCTGGCAGGTGGCACGGCTGGGCTGCCTTCGCGCGAGGGTAATTTTCCCACGCGCGAGCTGTCGCCAGTTCGCCGACCCCACCCGGTAACGTGGGTCGCTGTTCACATTGGGGGGGGGGGGGGGTTGCGGGGCGGCGGTCGTGCGCTCGGCCCAGCCCTGGGCCAGGCTGGCGGGCCCGCACGCGCGTCAGTTCCCCGCCTCGTCAGACCCCCGTCCGTCGACCCCCCTTGTCGACCCTGGCAAATCGGCTCCGTCGACCGAATTCCGCTGGGATCTTCAGATCCATTTGGCTCGAGCCGCTGTTCCTAACTTCACATGTATCACACGGCACATAAGAGTTCGACTAGCGAAGTTCAGCTTTGAACAGTAATTTCCGAGTCGCGCCGGGCTTTCGTAGGTTACCTGGTAGGGCGGTGCAGTTCGTGACCGTATCTGGCTTCAGTAACCAGGTACGATGTACCTCGCTACTGTCGTGAACCTCGCGGATTTTCGTACGTGCGCAGAAGGACACACGACTGGATGAATGAAAACGCAAAAATCTGAACGCAGGTCGACTTTAGTTCAGTGTCCTATTACTTTCACTCAGTTTGACCTAGGACACACGATTTCCTCGTGAACATTTTTTGCGAGATAAACGAAACGGGTTACCAGCAAAAGTTGAACATTTTTTCCGAACTTCTACACCAAAGGACACGCGCCCCAAAGAATATCTAGATATGACTCAATGAATTGACAATACAATGATGGCATGCGACTAAATAGTTACTACCTTAGCTAAAAAGGAACCTCGGGAAAACGAGGTTGGGTGCAGGTTTGGCGATCGGAAAGCCGAAGGCGACGCGAAGCAGCCTCGGCATCGGAAATGTAGGCCGAACATGCGAAGTCCGAAATGTCGGGGTTGTACACGTAGCATTCAACTCCGGTAAGGAATAGCAAAAATTCATTTACCCTGTTAGAAACAAAAATAGTGGTTCAATGATGTGGGTTGGGGTACATATAGCAAACCCTAACATTTGTACCCCCTAAGACAAGCCTCACTACAGGCTACAACATTTGACACACCCCCATAGCCTAAGTGAGAAGTATCTAGCAAAGACAAACAAACAAAGATCAGTCACGAACAAACAAAGCTCAGGGTGGATCACAACGTCACCACACATTCTGAGCGCAAGCAAAGGGCCACAAGGCCAGTCAAAGAGTTCAGAGGTATATAAGTAATGAGTACAAGACAACAAGCAACTACTATGCACGACGAGAACTAGAGTCAACAAGACCTAACTGCACACAGCACTTGTGGTGGTCACAAGGCGGAAGCGCCTTGGTGAAGATGTCTGCAGTGTTGGCCTTGGACTCCACAAAGTCCAAGCGAGCCTATACACGCCTTTGCAACTCTCGCAGAAGAAAGTACCTGACGTTGATGTGCTTCACTCTGCTCTCCAGCCGAGGCTCCCGACAGAGAAGAATCGCTGCCTTCTTGTCAGTGAACAAGGTCGGTGCAGAGCTCGGCCGCTCACCAAGGTCAGTGAGCAAGAAAGTCAACCAACGCAGCTCCTGTGCCGCCATGGCTCCAGCGTAGATCTCAGCCTCAGCGGTAGAGGTCGAGACCGAGGAGGAGCGCGTGGACCTCCACGAAACAGCTCCAGA